AGGCTGAGGGGAGCCCTCATCGCTCCCTACAACTGCCTGAGAGGAGGGGGGAGCCGGGGGGGTCGGGCTCTGCTCCCAGGGAAGGGGCGATGGGACGAGGGGCAGCGGCCTCAAGTTGTGCCCGGGCAGGGTGAGGTTGGCCATGGGGAACAATTCCTTCCCCTTGGGGCTGTCAGGGGCTGGAAGGGGCTGCCCAGAGAGGTGGTGGAGTCACCATCCATAGAGTTGTTCAAAAACTGTAGATGTGGAACTTCGGGACATGGTTTAGTAGGCATGGGGGAGTTGGACTTCGAGGTCTTTTCCAACCTTAATGATTCTGTGATAAAGCAACAGTCGGTGGGGGCTGGATGAGCAGCAAGAGCCTTCAAAATGGCCCTACAAGGTATCTGCAAGACAGCTGTACCAGCCAGCCCTAAAAAAAAAAATATATTTAAACATTCTAGTGTCTCAGCAGGCAGACACCATCAATTCCATGTGTTTTTCTTTTAAAAAAAAAAACCAAGTCTGCCAAAACCAAGTAAACCTTAGTTAAAAATGACCCCGTGCAGGTCAGGCATCGTCCAGCATGACACAGCTCACTGAAGGACTTACGTAGTCTTCAAATTTGGTGATCTCCTCCTCCAGGATGTCCGTCCCGACTTTGTCATCCTCCACGACGCACTGGATTTGGAGCTTCTTAATGCCATAACCTACTGGGACCAGCTTGGAGGCTCCCCACACCAGCCCATCCATGTGGATGGACCGGACGCACTCCTCCATCTTCGCCATGTCAGTCTCATCGTCCCACTGCAAAAGCATGAAATGCGACCTTTAGTGTTTTCCTAGAGACCATCATTAGCCCCAAGAGGCATCCAGCGACTTAAAATTCAACGCTACTCCTCCCAGTGTATTTTCAGCTGACCCAAGCTGCCCTTTCTTGGCTACCAGAATTAGCCGATGGGTTAGCCAGGCTAAATCTGACTTTGTGGCAAGGCTGCACAGCACCTTGTTTCGGTTCTACCTACAGGCACTGGAGACACAAGGGGGATTCTCCCTGCAGCAACGCAATTGCGTTGGAGCGCTCGCTTTAAAGTGACTTTTGTTTCTTGGAGCACCAGCCAACCCAGCGTTTTTGTTCTACCGTAACAATTTGACACAGACAGGTTTATTCCTATCTTTAGGGCATTAATTATCTGTCTTTTTTTCAAAGAAAAGGGCCAGTCCTGCTGAGAGGAACCTGAGGTAACAGCCTGCGCTTGCCACAGTGGAAGGAACAAGGCAGCAGCTACAGATCCCAGCTGCAATATCCCACCTCACTCTGACCCTTTCGTTTGGACATCTGCAGGTCCCGTCTTCACCAGTCCACTCGGATGTGCAAGCGAGACGATTTATAAGGCCTCCTGCAGCACGAGACATAAGGCCTCAACTCAGGAGCTCTCCCGCTTCAGTTACTCACTGGCTTCACATCCAGAAGGATAGAAGACTTGGCAATGAGACCCGGTTTCTTGGACTTCTTCTCTGCGTACTGACGCAACCTCTCCTCCCGGACTTTGGCAGCCTCTTGGTCTTCCTCTTCATCATCACTACCAAAAAGGTCGATGTCATCATCGTCATCTTCCTCTGCAGCAGCTGGCTCAACTTTCTTTGCCGGTGAAGCAGATGGGAGCTCTACTTTCTTGGAGGGAACACTGAATGGTTCCACTTTCTTCATTGATGTGACGAGCATTCAAGTTTGCATTGAGGAAAAAGGGGAGAAAATTAAGGAATCAGAGCGAGACTCGGGAGAAGCTCAGGAACAGAAGTCTACATTGCTCAGGAGAGTGAACAAGGCCCACACCCTGTGATTTGTGTGAAGAATCAGCTATCGGCCATCAAAACAGGTACATCCAATCAGATGGACCTTTGAACTGGCCCAGCATGGCTGTACCTATAGAGCAAAAAACACCACGTAGCCACGAGCTGATCCTTATCCTAAGGGCTCAGGATATCCAAACCATAACAAAGCTGGGGAGGGGTCTGGAGCCCAAGGCTGCTGGGGAGCAGCTGGGGGTGTTCAGCCTGGAGCAGAGGAGGCTGAGGGGAGCCCTCATCGCTGCCTACACCTGCCTGAGAGGAGGGGGGAGCCGGGGGGGTCGGGCTCTGCTCCCCGGGAAGGGGCGATGGGGCGAGGGGCACCGGCCTCAAGTTGTGCCAGGGCAGGGTGAGGTTGGCCATGGGGAACAATTCCTTCCCCTTGGGGCTGTCAGG